TTAAGAAATACACAATGCCTGACATAATTCAATCTTGTAAATGCTTTGGAATGTTTAAATTAAATGACAAAGCACTTGGCCATTTGCAAAAGTACATTCTCACTGTTGGCTCTGTTCTGCCATTTCTCAAACTGTGGTTTTCCTCAGTGCAAAACATTGTTAGACTCCAAGTCAGTAGTCTGGGGTTAGGCTCAGCACTCTGTGTTTTAGCAAGGCCTCCAGGAAATTCTAATATACACTGAAGTTTGAGAAGCATAACTGGGAGATAGAAAAATTTTGAATACTTATATCAGCCTTTTAAAATTCCCTCTCCCCTTTTTTGGTCTTTACTGACATGACTATCTTTTCAGAATAGAATGGCCTAAAACTACAATGCCATCCTCTCCTGGGGAACAGTTAATCATGTTTATTTTTTCCCCAGATAAAGAACTGTTAGATAATGGACAGCCCAGAATATTCCCCTACTTGTGCCTTTCTGCCAGGTCTGACAATTTTTGGGGAACTCATCCTAGAAAAAGTGCTGCATATTTCATTGCTGAATATCACTACATTCACCTTTAAAGTACTTCCCTTGGGAAACTATGCACCTATATGCCAGCACCTTGTCTACCTTCAAAGCAGTTTCAGCAATTTTTTATGGAGTGGCCATTAGACTGTCATCATATGAAGGTCTGACAATTAATAAGTTCATGAACTTGCCACCCTGTGCTTACATTGGCAGCGCTGTATGAACAACTCAGAAAAGTTTCATAACCTTGGTATATCAGGGTCTCACAGCTGTGTTCATGTTGACATGTGGCAGGTCTTGCTTAGTGGCATTCATTATTGTTGTTGCATGTTTTGTGTACCATACAATAACAACTCTGGTGGCCATTCCAGAAAAAGAGTTCCAAAATTGCTTTGAAGGGTGGACTAGGTGCTGGCATTAGTGTATAGCTTCCCAAGAGGAGAATTTGAAAGATGACAATACTGATATACACCAATGATATATGTATTACTTTTTCTAGATGAGTTCATGAACTTAATTGTTAGACATCATATATTTTTCTTAAACAAAATAATTGGTGACAATAATGATTAATATCTGAGTATTAAGAAAATGAGCTTTGGGGTCAGACTTATAATAACAGTAACACTCCTTCTCCTTACAAGAAGAATGGGCTTGAGAAAATTATTTAACATTTTTGAGTTTTAGTTGCCACTGCAAAAAAAAAAATGGACATTATACTTTTCTGGAAACTTATTGTATGAATTAGAAGTAAGAGTATATATAGAGCTTTCAATGCAGGCCATGAATTAAATCAAATATTCAGTGAAAGGCCAGTTGTACCTATAATACTAGCACTCTAGGGGACCATGGTGGGTGGATTGCTTGAGCTCATGAGTTGGAGGCTAGCCTGAGCAAAAGTGAGACTCTGTCTCTACTAAAAATAGAAAAATAGAAAAAGGAAGCAAGAGGATCACTTGAACCCAAGTTGAGGATGCTGTGACCTATGACGCCATGGCACTCTACCCAGGGCAACAGCTTGAGACTCAAAAAAAAAAAAAGAAAGAAACAATATTCAGTGAAGAATATATATTGTTGTTATATCTTATTTTAGATATAGAAGGTAAAGTTTTCATATTTTTTAAATTTGTTAAAATTAAAAGAACTGTTTATCAGTTAATAAAACAAACATAAGAAAGGCAAATTTACCAATTTGCCTTATCAATAAGAAAAGATAAGAAAGGCAAATTTCCAAAGACATACATTTACATCAACATTAAATTACTATTAATAATAATTTCTGATATTTATCAAATCTTTTTTGTGTCCAGATACCATATTAAAGCTTAAATATGTTTATTTGCATTCAGCTATATAAAATAGAAATAGCTCTAAAATGATGGGAGTTTTTTTCTTTTTTTCTGTTAATTAGAGGTACCCAGGTAAGTGGCTGCGGGTATGGGTTTGGTATTAGCATATAATATCTGAGGTGTCTGCAGCTCTTTTTCCTATTTCCTTTCATGATAGCAAGATAGCCTTTCAGCTTCAGTTGTTCTGTTCTCCCTTCAGCTTCAGCCATTATATCCTCCTTCCAGGCAGAAGGAAGAGAACAAAGGGCATGAAAGGAGTCCGCAAAATCAGTCAGCCTCCCTTTAGAGGAAATTCTCAGAAACCCAATCCAAATCTTCTATAGTTCTTACATCCAGTTAGAGAGAACTGAGTCTTGAGGTCATCACCATTTGTAAGAAAGGGTAGGAAATAAGATTCTCTTTTTTGTCTTAAGTATATGCATTATTACTATAATACTACCCCAAACTTGGTAGTTTGCATTAAAGATGTTTTAAAATAAAAACATTGTAAAAGAAATTTTAACACATTTCCCAAATTTATTTTACCATAGCATACTTTTTTCCCTCTTGTATTATTGTTCTGTGAGATTGTTTTTGGAAATTACTGGTATAGTTAATATCTATATTTTAAAAATAGATAGTTTCTGAAAACAGTGATTAGCTTTCTCTTCAGATTAAATAAATTCTACTTTATTATTCTGTCAGTGTGTTTGGAGGTATACTAGAGTTCAAAAAGTTATTAGTGTATTTTTAACTATGATATAGTGGAAGGCTGGGCATGATGGCTTATGCCTAGAGTCTTAGCACTCTAGGGGGCTGAAACAGTGGATCACTTGACCTCAGGAGTTCAAGACCAGACTGAGCAAGAGCAAGACCTTGTCTCTACTACAAATAGAAAAATTAGCTGGGTGTGGTGACATGAGCCTGTAGTCCCAGTTACACAGGAGGTTGAGGCAGGAGAATCACTTGAGCTGAGGAGTTTGAGTTTGCTGTGAGCTCTGATGACTCCATGGCATTCTACCTGAGGTGACAGAGTAAGATTCTCTCTCTCTCTCTCAAAAAAAAATCTATATATATGTATATAGATAGATAGATAGATATTCACACACATATAATAGAGTTGAATTGATGTGTAGCTGCTAAATATCTCTATTAAAAGAAGGAGATCTGATATCATTGGCCTATTAACTGATCGGTCTTACTCCATAAAATAATTCAGTCAATTTTAAAATTGTTAATGAATTTGATTCTCAAGGAAAATATCTTGACATTTCATTGAGTGGGTCAGGGAAACGGTTCTCTGTTATTCTTAAAACTCTCTTTGATCCACAGTCTTTCATAAAGGATATTTTCATTAGTTTAAAACCACCTCAAGCTGATCTCATCTCCACTACGTTGTTCAAGACTTTGATAGTTGCCTTCAGTTTCTGTAATCTTGACACATGTGTTATGATAATAGTAATGTAAGATTCTTAGAAAGATCTTGTACTAAGATAGATAAAAAGTCACTACTTATAAATGAAGGGCATTGTATTTTGCACATTGATCAGATTAAATATGTAAAAAGCGATTTAAGTAGTTTCTCTTTAGCTCCCTCAAAAACACAGATGGTGCAAAGTAATCAATTACTAATCATTTTATCTTCATCTTTCATCCAAGAAAAGCAAAATTAAAAAAAGAAATTTTAATTCTATAAAAGCATTTCAAAGGAAAAAAAGCTGATTCTCTAAGGTCTTTTTTTTTTTTTTTTTAGACTCACTTTGATGCCCTTGGTAAAGTACCATGGCATCATAGCTCATAGCAACCTCAAACTCTTGGGCTCAAGTGATTCTCTTATCTCAGCCTCCCAAGTGGCTGGTACTATAGGCACCTGCTATTTTTAGAGACAGGCTCTCTCTCTTGCTCAGGCCAGTCTCGAACCTGTGAGCTCAGGCAATTCTCCCAACTCAGCTTCCCAGAGTACTGGGATTTACGGTCTTTTAAATGCAGTTCCCATCTACACATCCCATCTTATACTGAATTCAGCCCATTTCTTGTGTTGACACTGACTTCATTGATATCACGTCTTGCACGACCTGTGGTCTACTGCAGGTGCCCAATGATGCCAAACAAAAAGAATTTCTGATATTTTTGCGGCCCTCCACAATTCTTAATTTTTCTGTATCATCACTTCTTGTTGACCCTTTTACAGATGAAGGAAATCAGTTACAGAGAGGACAAGTAACAGTCTGTGGTCCACCCCCTGGTAAAAGACTAGAACTCTGTGTTCTAGTATTCTTGTCCAAAGTTATTTCAAAACACCAAAGAATAGTTTTGTGGGGAGTTGGGAGGGTGTGTCTGGGGGTGTATGGTTCAGAAAGCAGACAAGTAGGAGAAAGAAGCCAGTAGCCAGAACATGGTCATAAGCCAAAATAGATGCAGAGAGGCTGAGAAATGTAGTATTTTGGCTGCACATTTTGCTTCCCTGGGTAAAATTAATGTCCTGTTACTAAGAAAGAGTTGGAAGATGAATATTGAGTGAACAGTTAACACTACCTGTTGCAGTTAAGGATTTCTCTCTGTCTCTCCCTCTCTCTCTCACACACACACATACACACACACACACACATATTTGAATATATAAGTGTAAGTAGAACAAATAGAGCATCTTTTGTGAATGTTCTCAGCTGTTACTGTACTTCAGAACTTAACTAGGACAAGAGGAGAATAGTGTTAGATTCTTTTTTCTTACTCCTGTTATTTTTCTGTTCACATAATTAATGTTTAAGTAAATATTTCAGCTGTATTTTCCATTGAAGGGAACATTATGTACTGAATTTACATATAGCAATTAATATTTTAATTCCGTCAACTATAGTAGTATATTATGACCAGAGCTTTAACTTGGCCTTAACTATATGTCATGATCCTATTTACGTTTCTTTATACTTTTCATTAATGTTTCACACAAAAGAGGCATGCTTAGAAACAGTTGTACTTGCTTTAATATTGACGATCATAACAGCATTTCTTACTCCTCTGGGCTTATGACTATGAGAAACAATGAAATAAGGCCTGAGCCATCACAAAACCTAGAAATTGGTATTCATCATGTTTGCTACATGTGATAGAAAGGAATTCTACTTATTTTTATTTTTCCCACCTTTGTCCACCTTCTCTAACAGGCTATACATAGATGGTCCATTTGGAAGTCCATTTGAGGAATCACTGAACTATGAGGTTAGCCTCTGTGTGGCTGGAGGCATTGGAGTGACCCCATTTGCATCAATACTCAACACCTTGCTGTACGTCATTTTGATACATTTTATTAGTCCAACTAGAGAAGTGCCAACATTTTAGACATCTCTCTTTTTAGCATGAAGTAATTCCTTACAGAATTCTTCTACTCATTGTTCAAGGAACTCCATTTACTGATGGATGAGGGAATAATTCAGTGACCCTCAACAGGTGATCTCTGACTCGCAACATGCTCTCTTGTAAAAATAAGTCAGTATCACAGTCATGCATTCCTCTGTCCTTTTCCTCCATTAAAAATCATTCACCATCATTCATTTCTCTACGTCCTCATCAGTGGTAAGTAGTACTGTTTATTCATTCAGTACACAAACATTTTTGAGTAAATACTACAGGTAATAGGAATATAGCAATGAACGAAAATAGACTTCTTAGTATTAAAAAGTTTACATTAAGAAGGTCTGGTAAAAAATTAAGCAATGAGAAATTTTCAGGTAAAATTATTTCAGAAAATATTGGAACCATGATGAAAAAAAGACAGATTAATGAAATACAGAAATAAAGAGCTGGGATTGTTGTTGAAGTATGGTCAGGGAAAGATTTTTTGAGAAGACAAACACATCATTACTTGATTTGTTATTTAGCAAATTTACAATAGACTGGAGAAGAGATATTTCAAAGGTGAGATCACTTAACCAGGAAATACTCTTTCAGTTAGGATTGTTAGCACAAGTTAACTGAGTGATATTAATTCTCATGAAAACACAAACAAAATGACAACAGGAAGTTACTCTCAACTCTGTTTCATTTACATTTCAAGTAGACACAGTTTACATTAAAAATCTGTTTTGTGAAATACTGAAAAAGAAATAATAAGGTGAAGTGATTAAGTTGAAGGATTGTGTTTGAATGATATTGTATTTCAGTTTTAAATATTAGATGTCCATTTGAGAATTTCAGGAGGTTCTTACAAAAATAACCATATTCCATGCCAGAAATCATTTGTTTCTGACAACACTTTGCAAGTTATTTGGACACCTAATGTCATAAAAATAAAGAAGAACATTTTCTTAACCTCAAGCCTACTTTATAATTATAGATAGGGATCCAGACATAGAATTGAGTTGCTGGAATGCATTACATAGTATGTGGTTGTGAAATCTCTTTAATGATTATTAAGAATGGCATAAACAACGAATTTTCTGGAATGGTCTTGTCTTATTTTGCCTAAAAGATGGGACAAGACTGAATGACCTTGGGAGCCCTGTTTGGTGATAGAATTCACTAAAAATAGAGAACTTGTTTTTCTGAGATGCAGTGGCCAATATTATTTTGATCCAGGATATTATTTTATCCTGGATCAGTTATGGCCTTCAGCTGGATACAGATGATGCGCATATTTATGAATAATATTCATTAACACTTAAATTCATGAAGTATGTCATGTCTCTGAGTCAGTATGTTGCATATTAAATTTATTTGGGAGTTAACTGCTGTATCAGATGTTGCAATTCAAATATATGATTTTTCTGTTGGTACTTACTGATGAAAAGTAAATTATTAAGACCATGGAGATTCTTTTTTTTTAAAATCTTTCTTCTTCTTCTTATTTTCCCATTCTAATCACCACCATGTTATTTTAATTTTGAAGGGATGACTGGAAACCATACAAGCTTAGAAGACTATACTTTATTTGGGTGTGCAGAGACATCCAATCTTTCTGTTGGTTTGCAGACTTGCTCTGTATGTTGCATAATAAGGTAACATTGGGATTGTTTTAGTTTTGCAATTTTTAATAATTTTCTCTTATATTACACTAGCAAATGCTTGCTATAGAATAAACTATTTGCATATGCAATTTAGTCAAAGAAGTAGGAGGGAAAGAAGTTAAGTCCCTTATACTCCCCACAAAAAAACAGACATAACATCTATTAACATGTAGGTACACGTCTTTTCAGATATGGATATTTGTGATTATGCATATATATCTATGACTTATTTTAATATAAAACATTCATTTTCATGTTTTAACACAGAATATTTAACATAGAAATGTACACATGGCTTTAGGTGGTGAGAGAAGACAGAGGAAATCAAAAGACACTAGCTATAATGCACGTACAGTGCTTCCATCCTGTGTTCTGATAGCACTATCCTAGTCTCCATCTTTAAAATTTCAAATATGCTGTCACTAGACTTCTCGGTAAACAATGCAGAATGTCAAAAATCTAAAACTTTGTATTTTAATTTTTATAATTCAATGTTAACTGTAACATTTTATTCTTCTATTTATTTTTCTTTATTTATTCAAATTACACAAGTAATATTTAAGTATATCATTGCTACAGATATTTTTAAACAATTTGTATAACGTAAAATTCTTTCTTACTATCTTCTCCACCAAATCTATGTAATGAGTCATAACTCATGAGTATTCTGTAAACTCTATTATACTATTTATATTGCTATGCAAATTGCCTTTTAAACTTATTTCTAGGTCTTGAGTAGTTGTTTGGTATTAGTACAAATAGCGCTATCTCATTCTGTTTAGTGATGTATATTATTTCATGGCATTGATGTGTTTAGTTTATTTAACAATTCCCTAATGTGGGCTATTTAATGTTTTCATTACAAACAATGATGAAATGGATATCATTATACGTGCCTCTTTGTACATGTATCTATTCAACCAGTTATTCGACCACTTCACAAATATTTATTAACTGCCTATTATAATTCAAGAACTATCCTAGGAGCTGGAGATGCATCACGTAACAAAATCATACTAAGGCTCGGCGCCTGTGGCTCAAGCAGCTAAGGCACCAGCCACATACACCTGAGCTGGTGGGTTCGAATCCAGCCTGGGCCTGCCAAACAACAATGACGGCTGCAACCAAAAAATAGCCAGGCATTGTGGCAGGCACCTGTAGTCCCAGCTACTTGGGAGGTGGAGGCAGGAGACTCTCTTGAGCTCAGGAGTTGGAGGTTGCTGTGAGCTGTGATGCCACAGCACTCTACCCAGGGGGACAGCTTGAGGCTCTGTCTAAAAAAAAAAAAAAAATACCAAATTTCTGATCTCATGTTGTTTACATTTCATGTGGGGCAGACAGACAAGAAACCAATAAACAGAGAGGATGTCTGACCATGAGATTCCATTTAGAACAAACATAAGGAAAGTAGGGGTGAAGCAATATAAATAGTAGAAGGCATGGCGATTTATATTGCATGTTCTGGAGAGCCCACCAAACAAAATGCTGTTCGAGGAGAAACTTGAGTAATGTGGACTAATAGGCAAGACATTTATTTTGGAGAACAATTTCAAGGTAGAAGAACCTAACTTTACAAGCAAGGGTCCTGATGCAGTGGCATATTTGCTGTGTTGGAAGAAAAGGAAGGTAGTCTGTGTGGATGGAGCAAAGTAAGCAGGGGAAAGATTGGTAGGAGAACCAATTAGAGAGGTGTGTGTGTGAGCTTTTCTAGAAAGATGTAGATTACATAAGGCCTTAAAGTTTATGCAAAAAAAAAACACCCCAAATTGGTTCTGGATATATACCTGGAATAATTGAAAGCACAGGATTGAACAGATATTTTACACCAATGTTCATTGGAGCATTATTCACAATAGCCAAAAGATTGAAACAACCCAAATATTCATTGACAAATGAAGGGATAAACAAAATGTGGCACACACATAAAATGGAATACTATGCAGCCTTAAAACGAAGGAAATGCTGACATATGCCATAGCATGGATGAACCTTGAAGCTATCATGCAAAGAGAATTTGTTCACAAGAGAACAAATGTATGATTCCACTCATCGGAGATACTTAGAGTAGTTTAATTTGTAAAGACAAAAAGTAGAATGGTGGTTGCAGTAGCCTGGCGGAAGGAGGAAATAGGGAAATTCCTATTTTTTCCAGACTATTCATTTTTCCAGTTATATTTCTTGTCATATATATTTTTATTCAAGGGAAATCAGTGCTGAGTAAGGGTAAGGAAGGAATAGGAAAAAAGTGTCTGTTGTTTGTTTTTGTTATTTGTTTTGTTTTGCATTTCTTACCGTGCATAGCCTAAATCACTAATGTCTTTTTTTAATAAAATCATATTCTTGATGAATAAACACCTAGGTAAAGCTTAGGGACTCTTAGGGAATAAAATAAAGAATATTTGGGGAGGACTTAGGAAAATATTAGTTAAACATAGTATTTAGCATGCTGTATTTTATATAGAGAGATAACAGAAAATTATTCCATTCCACCATCACCATCACACCTAATTTATATCAGTAGGGCAGGTTGTTGCAGTTAAAATCTGTCACTTATTTATATATATATATTTGTGTGTGTGTGTATATGTGTAAGATAAATACTCATTTGCTTATAGATATTGGCTGTATTAAGCTAGGATATGTGTTACATTCTAGAATAACAAGTGTTAGGATTGTGGAAAATCTAAGTAACTGAAAGACTCTGCAGTAAGTCTGTTCATGTTTATGTCCTCTCAGTTTTGGCACGAGAACAGACCTGACTATGTCAACATCCAGCTGTACCTCAGTCAAACAGATGGAATACAGGTATGTGGTTGGATGTTATTGTAAATTAAACAAGCCTCTTGATAATAGAAGATTTACTGTAGAAACTGTGTTGGAAAAAAAATTCTGCAGGTGGTTTGAAGAAGTTTCCTAGAGTTAGGCCTCATTTGGAACGTGTCCAGAAAATTCATGGCTTACCCTTGAAGTCAACCATATCATGCTTTCATTTGTCCTCCTCACAGGGGACTGGAGCAGACCTTTGGAGTCCATCCCTTTCCATTTCAATATCACCTCAAATTCTCTGCCTTTAAAAGTGCACTTGAACAGTCTTGTGATTATGTTTTCGTCAAGGAGAGGTTTTATGTGGAGAGAGAAGATGAGCTCTTACACAATTCAGCTTATTTCCCTTGAAGGGAAATGAAATAATGGCCATAATGCTTTGTTTATTTAATGCACTAGGCACAGTGTTAAGACTTTCGTGTACATTAGCTCATGTAACTCCAACAGATTAGAGAAGTTGATAAAATTACTATCCCTGTTTTATGAAGAAATTAATATTTAGAGACCACATCTAAGAACTGAATAAGTGTATAAGTCTGAGTGTGAATGATTATGCAAATGTAATTTTAGTATTTCCCATCATACATTTTCCCAATATTTTGACTGCAAATTATGGATTTATGTCAGTTACCTTGAAACGAATCTAACCTGTTTTTTTTTTTTTTTTAAGTAAAAACAGGTTACTTGGTATATAAAAAATATTTCAGTTTACTGTTCTCATGCAGTAAGTCAATATTTTTTCTTCATGACTTGCTATAATTAAGGTCTGGAGCATAGTTTACCTTTGTTCTCAGTTCGACTGCCTGGGCTCTAGACACTTTCTCCACTCTGATCACTTCACTCTCACTTTTCACTATCAGTTTTGGTCTAATGATATAATGTTCTTTTTTCCCCAAAAATCTCAAGTGATTTTTTTTTATTTTTTTATTCTTGATTCATAATAGTCATATATCTTTATAGCGTATATGAGATGTTTTGATACAGGCATATCATGTGATTAATCAAATTGGGATAATTGGAGTGTCCATCACCTCAGACATTTATCACTTCTTTGTATTAGCAAAATTCTAATTCTATTCTTTTTGATAGCTTAAAGCATACGCAAACTTATTGAACTTAATATTGATAATAGTCACTAGGTTGTGCTATCACATATTGTTCATCCTAACTATTAAATATATTTGTGTACCCATTAATCATCCTTCCTTTGTCCCCCCTTTCCCCTACCCTTCTTCTTTTATTTATTTTTTCTTTTTTTTAAACAGAGTCCCACTTTGTCACACTTAGTAGAGTGCTGTGGCATCAAAGCTCACAGCAACCTCCAACTTGTGGGCCCAAGTGATTCTCTTGCCTCAGCCTCCCAAGTAGCTATTTTTAGAGACACCCAGCTATTTTTAGAGGGGGTGTTTTGCTCTTGCTCAGGCTAATCTTTACCTCCTGAGCTCAAGCAGTCCACCCACCTTGGCCTCCCAGAGTGCTAGGATTACAGATATGATCATTTGTTTTTTTTAATACATCTATTTGGTTCCCACAAAATGAGTAACAACATGTGAGATTTGTCTTTCCATGCCTGGTTTATTTCACTTAACATGATATTATCCAGTTCCATTCATTATTGCAAATGGCATGGTTTCTTTCTTTTTTATGTCATTCATTATGTTTATGCACCACAATTTCTTTGGTCCATTCATTTTCTGATGGACACTTAGGTTAATACCATATCTTGGCTGTTGTGAATAGTGTTGAATAAACGTGAGAGTGCACAAATATCTTTTCCATATACTGAATTCCCATCCTTTGTATACATACTCAGCAGTGGGATTGCTGGGTCATATGGTAGTTGTATTTTTAGTTTTTTTAAGAACTCCATACTGTTCCTCAGAGTAGTTGCACTAATTTTCATTCCTACCAACAGTGTACAAGGTTTCCCCTTTCTCTGCATCCTCTCCAGAGTTTGATATTGCCTGTCTTTCTTTTTGAAAATGGCCATTTTAGCAGGGGTGAGACATTATAGTTTTGATTTCATTTTGTGATGTATTTCTATGATAATAGGCATTTTTTCACACACCTGTTGACCATTTGTATGTATTCTTTTGAAAAATGTCTATTCAAATTCTTTGCCCATTTCTAATCCTATTATTTTATTTCTACCTATCAAGTTATTGGAATTCCTTATATAATTATTAATCCCTTGTCAGATATTTTGCAGATATTTTCTCTCATTCTATGGGTTGTCTCTTTCTATGGGTTGTCTCTTTACTTCATTGTTTTGTTTATTCTGCAGAAGCTTTTTAGCTTGATCTGAGCCTATTTGTCCAATTTTGCTTTGATTGCCTGTGCTTTGGGGGTATTACCCCAGAAGCCTTTCCTATGCCAATGTACAAAGTGCTTCCCCAATGTTTTATCTTAGTTGTTTCATAGTTTGTATCACAGCCTTGAAACTTTAATCTATTTTGATTTGGTTTTTATATATTGCAAGGATAAAGTTCTAGTTCATTCTTCTGCACATGGATATCCAGTACCAGCACCATTTACTGAAGAGACTTTCCTTTCCCCACTGTATGTACTTGGCACCTTTGTCAAAAATAAGTTTGCTATAGATGTGTGGATTTATTTCTGGGTTCTCCATTTGCTCCATTGGTCTGTGTGTTTGTAACAAGTTATTTTGGTTACTACAGGTCTGTAGTATATATTTGCAATCGATTAATATTCTTCTAGTTTTTGTTTTTTTCTTCAGGATATCTTTGACTCACATGGATCTTTTGTGGTTTCATATAAATTTTAGGATTTCATTTTCTACTTTTGTCAAGAATGTCATTGGTAATTTGATGAGTATTTCATTGAATCTGTAGATTGCTTTGGGCCTTATAGACATTTTAACAATATTGATTCTTCCAATCCATGAGCATGGGATATCTTTCCAGTTTTGTATCCCCTTCAATTTCTTTCATCAATGTTTTGTAGTTTTCATCATAGAGATCTTTCACTTCCTTGATTACGTTTGTTCTAAGATACTTTATTTTATTTGTAGCTATTGTGAATGGGATTACTTTCTTTGTTTCTTCCTCAGATTATTTACTGTTGGCTTATAGAAATGCGCATTTTTGTACATTAATTTTATAACTCAAAACTTTACTGAATTTGTTTATAAGTTCTAATTGTTTTTGAGGGGAGGCTTTAGGCTTTTTCAGATATAAGATCATACCATCTGCAAAAAAGGATAATTTGACTCCTTCCTTTCCAATTTGGATGCCTTTTATTTGTTTCTCTTCTCTGAGTGTTCTATTGAGAACTTTCAGTACTACGTTGAAAAATACTGGTGATAATGGGCATCCTTGTCTTGTTCCAGATCTTAGAGGAAGGCTTTCAGTTTTTCCCCATTTAGTATGACACTACATGTGTGTTTGTCATAGATGGCTTTTATTATGTTGAATTAAATTCTTTCTACCCCCCAGGTTTGGTTTGTGTGTGTGTGTGTGATTTTATAATGAAGAGATGTTGAATTATTATTATATTTTTGAGACAGAGTCTCACTTTGTCACCCTTGGCAGAGTGCTGTGGCATCATAGCTCACAGTAACCTCAAACTCATGGCCTCAAGTGATTCTCTTGCCTCAGCCTCCCAAGTAGCTAGGACTACAGGCACCCACCATGATGCCCGGCTATTTTTAGAGATGGTGTCTCTCTCTTGCTCAGGCTGGTCTTGAACCTGTGAACTCAGAAATCCACTACCTTGGCCTTTCAAAATGCTAGAATTACAGAGCCACCACACCCAGCTAGAGATGCTGAATTTTACTGAAGACTTTTTCAGCATCAATGGAAATGATGATATGGTATTTGTCCTTTGTTCTGTTGATATGATGTATCACACTAACTGATTTCTGTACGTTTAACCATCTTTGCATCCCTGAGATGAATCCCACTTGATCATGATGAATAATCCTTTTAATGTGTTTTTTAATCCAATTTGTTAGTATTTTTAAAAGATTTTTTACATCTATGTTCATCAGCGATATTGGCCTGTAGTTTTCCTTTGCTGTTGTGTCTATTTGTTTTTTATATCTGGGTGAAATAGGCCTCACAGAATGAGTTTGGGAGCATCCCCTTCTCCTTGATTTTTTGGAATAGTGGTAGTAGGATTATTATTAGTTCTTCAAATGCTTGGAAGAATTCAGCAATGAAGCTTCGAGTCCTGGGCTTTTCTTTGATGGGACACTTTTTATCACTGCTTCTGTCTTGTTATATTTTATTGGTTTATTCAGGTTTTGAATTTTTTTCTTGGTTCATTCATGGTAGGTTTTACATGTCTAGGAATTTATCCATTTCTTCTGGGTTTTCCAATGTATTGTCATATTGTGGCTCATACTAGTCTCTAATGATCCTTTGGATTTCTGTAATATCAGTTGTAATGCCACCTCTTTCATCTCTTATTTTATTTGAGTTTTCCATCTTTTATTTCTTAATCTGGCTAAAGGTATGTCAATTTTGTTTATCTTTTCAACAAAACAACTTCTTGTTTTATTAATATTTTCTCCTTTTTTCGTTTAAATTTCATTTATTTCTCCACTAATCTTTATTTTTTGTTTTCCTTTACTAATTTTAGATTTGGTTTGCTCTTGTTTTTCTAGTTCTTTGAGATGCACAATTAGGTTGTTTAATTTAAGCTTTTCTACTTATTTGATGTAGGCACTTATTCCTATAAACTTTCCTCCAATTTCTGCTTTTGCCCTATCTCATAGGTTTCTTTTTTTTGGCCGGGCCTGGGTTTGAACCCACCACCTCCAGCATATGGGGCTGGCGACCTACCCTTTTGAGCCACAGGTGCCACCCCATATCTCATAGGTTTGCTGTGGGTTTTTTTCCCCTTCTATTCCAAGAAATATTAAAATTTCCTTCTTAATCTCTTCATTGACCCATTGGTCATTTAAGAGCATATTGTTTATTTTCCATTTGTTTTTTATAGTTTCCAGTATTTCTCTTGTTATTGATTTGACTTCTAGTTTTATTCTGTTACAGTCAGAGAAAGTAGTTGAGTTGATTTCCATTTTTTTGAAATTTTTAAGATGTCTTTTGTGGCCTAACATACTGTCTGTCCTTTGGAATGATCTATGACCTGAGGAGAAGAATGTGAATTCTGCAGCTGTTGGATGAAGTGTTCTGTGGTTATATATTAGATCTTTTCGTTCTGTTGTGTGGGTTAATTCCAGTGTTGCTTTGTTGATTTTCTCTCTGGGTGATGTGTCCAGGACTGAAAGTGGAGTGTTGAAGTCTTCAACAGCTACTGTACTAGAGTCCATCTCTCACGTTAGCTCTGATAATATTTGCACTATGTTTTAGGGTGCTTCAGTGTTGGGTGTGTATATGCGTAGAATTGTTATGTCCTTTTGCTGAATTGATCCCTTTATCATTATACAATGATATTTTTATCTCTTTTTACAGTTTTTGTTTGTCTTGAAATCTATTTTCTCTAATACAGTATAGCTTCTTCTGTTTTTTTATGGTTTCCATTTCGTGGAATATTTTTCCAAACTCTTTAGTTTTGGTTTGTATGTGTCTTTGTATGTTCGATGAGTTTCTTAAAGACAATATATGGGTAAGTCTTATTAATTTTAATCTGTTCAGCCACTTTTTGTCTTTTGATTGGAGAGTTTAATCCATTCACATTCAGTGAGGTGTAGGTAAGAATTTACTACTCTCATGTTGTTATTTGATTTCTGGCTGTTTTGTGATTTTTCCTTTTGCTCGTCTCTTTCCTTTTTTTCCTTTTTCTCCTCTATGTTCCTTTGTTAAAAGCAACTGTCTTTGGGAGTGTGTTTCACCTTTTGCTTTTTAGTTTTTGTGTATCTGCTGTAGTTTTTGTTTTGTTTTGTTTTGTTTGACTGAGGTTATCTAGAGGCTTACCAAAAGGATTTTATAACTAATAAAAATAACTTTTAAAAAACTTTTAAAAATAAGATGTCTTCTTACAAACAAATAAGCATAGAGAAATATAATAGAAATTCTTTCCTCTTTACTTTTTAATTTTTTAATGTTTTCAGTAATCTTTCTTTACTAGCAAGCTCTCAAAAACTGTAATTTGATTTTTTTTTTAGTCTTCCTTCTCAAGATATAAGCAGTTTATACAGCACATTTATAGCTGTAATGTATTCTGAATTTCTATTCTTACTGTTATTTGTGTGCTTTATACCTTCAGATAATTTCTTATTATTCATTGATGCCTCTTTCTTTCATATTAAAGAACACGTTTTAGCATTTCTTGTAGGACAGATCTGGTGTTGATGAAATCCCTGTTTTTGTTGTTGTTTGGTTGCTTGCTTGTTTTATCCTGGGAAAGTCTTTATTTCTCTTTAATGTTTGAAGGATATTTTTGCAGGATATAATATTCTAGAGTTAAGGTTATTCTCCATTAGCATTTTGAATATGTCATGCTACTCTGTCCTGGCCTGTAAGGTTTTCACTATTTCCCCACATCTTGGGGCTTTTTTATATGTTATTTTTTTCTTTTTACTTGCCTCTCTTAAGATTTTATTTTTTTTAACCTGTGACCGCTGGAAGCTTGATTATTAAGTTCCTTGAGATACTATGGTTGGGGTTAAATTTGTTGGGTGTTCTATAGCTTTCTTGTACCTGATATCTTTCCCTAGGTTTGGAATTTTCTTTGTCATTCTTTTTTAATGAACTTTCTACACAGTCTATCCTCTATCCCTATTTAAGGCCAATAACACTTAGATTTTTCCTTTAAGGCTATTGTCTATATTTTGTAGGTATGCGGCATTCTTTTTTATTCTCTGTTTTTCTCTTCTATTTTGAAATAGCCTATTATCAAGCTCACTAATTCTTTCCTTTGGTTGATCAATTCTGCTGTTGAGACACTGATTAATTTCTTAGTTTGTCAAGTGAATTTTACAGCCTCAGAATTTCTGCCTTTTTAAAAATTATTTCAACCTCTATGCTACATTTGTCTGCTATGCTTATGAATTCCTTCTCTGTGTGATCTTGAAGCATTGAGCCTCTTTAGGACACATATTTTGAATTTTTCGTCTAAAAGCTCACATGTTTCTATCACTATAGGATTTGTCACTGGTACCTTTATTTAGTTTATTATATGAGATTATTATTTTTCTTTTTTTTTTTCCTTTGGATATTCTTGATGATTATGGATATCTGTCAATGTCTGAGCATTGAAGACTTAGGTATTTATTTTAATCTTTCCAGTCTGAATTTGTTTGTACCAGTTCTTCTTGAGAAAACTTTCCAGATATTCAAAGGGAATTGAGTGCTGTGAGTCTAGATCTTTGGTCATTGTAGCCATAACAGCATAGGGGGTGTCCCAAGCCCAGTAATGATATGATTCTTGCAGACTCCTGGTGCCATCTTGGTGGACTTGGGTAAGATATGGGAGAATTCCATGGGTTACTCTGTAAAGTCTATTTTTCTCTTCCATCACTTTCTGTGCTAGGCTGCTGGAGTTGCAGGAGCAGTGACATGTATTCCTTTGTGGCCACTCCAGCTAGGACTGTTTCAGATCACACCTGAAGCAAACCCATTCTCTTTAAAAGCCCATGGTGATTACTTCCTAGCTACTTCTGATGTTTGTTCCAAGTCCAAGGGCTATTTAATCACCAAGTGGTGAATCTTGTTAGAACTGAGTCCTTCCTTTAAGGGAAACATATTTTCTTCTGGGCCGGAATGGATCTCGAAATGCCATGAAGGAACTAAGACCTGGATTCAGTTGTGCTTTGTACTCTACTGTGGCTAAGATGGTACCCAAGTTGCCAAACAAAGTCCTCTGAAATCTTCCCTTTCTTTTCCCCAAGTGAAAGAATATTCCCTAGGTCATACTGCCTGTATTTGGGGAGAGGCGAGTGACACAGGCACTTGACTTGGCCACCACCACTGGTGTCTCACAGGGTTTGTGAACTCCAAGTCCTGCAGCTCTGAGCCAACACAGCTGTAAGAATTGCCCAAGGCCTGAAGCCTCTGTGGCTTGACTGCCTTACATAATTATTCCAGGCCCCAGTCCACTTTTTGTTGGCTGGTAGTGAGGCTGGCCAAAACAAGTTTCTGGGTGGGAATGATTTCCCTCCGGCAGGGCTAGTCTAAATGCTCTCTTCATGGGTACTGTGCCATGTTCCCCTGATGGCCCTGAGTTTCAATTCAAAGCTCCATGATTATTTTGCTATCCCTCCACTGGGCACACAGAGAATGTCCACTCAGCGTGGTGGTACAGCACTGCTGGGGATGGAGAAGTAGGCATGTTGGAAATGTGAGATTGTCTTTTCTACCCTCTTCAGTACCTTTTTCCTTGTTGTTAATGTTAAAATCAGGTTGTATGATTGCTCACTTGATTTTTGGTTCTTCTAATGGTGCTTGCTTGTGTGGATAGTTGTTGAATTAGGTGTTCGTGCAGAGAGACAATTGCTTGAGGTTTCCATTTGGCAATATTGTTCTTGGAATGTTCTCTTAATTGCAGATACCAGCCCAATAATGGCCATTTTTTTGATAAGCCCACATTCATGGCCCTGCTGTCTTGGGCTGTGTTATCTAGAGTCATTTCCCCAAATTTATCATGACAGTTTATAATATTTTATTCATATAATGAGCCAAATACAAGTTTATTCATGATGCAAAATACTTCAATGAAGGTTATGTGCTGAGCCTTTTTGAAAGTGAGCAATCAGAATGCATTCTTTGTCTTACATTGTGGGTTTTGAAAAATGAAACAACTAAATGAAGTCTAGGAAAATTAGCCATTTGTAAGAATGGCATTCAGGAGATAATAGATTTTGAAAGAAATGAGGAAGGAAATGATATGTAGAAATGATCATACTTAATATGTTGCCATTTGATGCTTATATTCTTTATGTCACAGCAATTTGGTAGGAAACCACAAAACCAACAGAAATCCTATTATATAAATGAGTTATTTACCCAAATCTGTGAATAATATAGTGCTTTCTTTTTGGCAGAAGATAATTGGAGAAAAATATCATGCACTGAATTCAAGACTGCACATTGGACGTCCTCGATGGAAACTTCTGTTTGATGAAATAGCAAAATGTAACAGAGGGTAAGTATATTGTATCTGGTAAAATTTAACATGTGGCTAATGATTAAATTAAAGTATTTCCAAATTATTGCATGGAGTTTTCAAAGACGACCACCAACAGTGGATTTACAAATTACCAAGTCACTTAAATACTCTGTCACTGTCAAAGGAGAAAGCTAAGCTGGTATTGCAATGCCAAATAATTAAAATGTGGCTTAGAAATAGTCTATAATGTATATATGAACTAGCCTCTTCTACTTGTTTATAAATTTTTGTAGACCCATGTTGAAAATGGTATTCATTACTGTAGCATACATCAGGTGATCATGGGAAAGTTTTTCAAAATCATGTTGTTAAGGGAACTTCACAAATAATTCTAACAATGAATGCATTTAAAAATCAAATCTTTGCACCTTTTCAGCAGAATGTATACCCTTAAGAGAACTCTTCATTATAATATAGTCTTTAAACTAGGAGTACTTCCACATACAAATTTTTTGAAAATACAATTTTGTAAAGAATCTTGATTTTATGGACTATGTGTCTGTGATCTGAAGAAATTACTATTCAAGGAAAATCAGTCATTTTACAGCACAGACTTTATCTTTTGTAAACTTACCAGAATGTGGGGCAATGATCTATGAGAAAAAATAGAATTTGAAAGCTATATACCCATTCATATATTTTTAAATTTACATCTAAATAGTTTCATCATAGCTTCAGAAGATGTAATTTCTAACATAGTGGAGATGTCATTGTTTTATAATTAAAGTAATTCCTTTATTTATTTATATTAATTACTAGTTTATATACTAGTATATACTAGAATATAAATATCATGTCTATGTGATACCAACCTCATTTATTATAAACATACACAAACAAGCTCTTCCTTTAGCAGTTGGAAATGGAAATTTTACATTATTCTTATTTTTCCTTGATCTTAAATTTTTATTCCATTTATGCATAGTATTTTATCAAAATTCAATACATTTTTATGTTTAGACTACCTGTACTTTCATTGCTAAACTATACTTCTGCTATAAGAATAAGTTTCAAAAAGTCTATTTCATTTTTAAAACTTTCTGTGAATATAAGGTTTGAATATTAATGTTTACTTCTGTCTTGAGTTATTACAATTATTAGCATATAGTTGATCACTTTATAATTGTTGAAGTATATTTTGGTAAATATCAAAGGATATTTGATTATAAATGTCATGGCCAGCTTAAGTAGATTTTATTAAAAACCAAATTTATGAAGTCATGAAAGGTTATTATTTATTGACAGAATCACTGATTCAGGATGTCCCCTGAAAAGATTTTGTTTCAGAAATTATGGAATGGTGCCTGAGAAGGAAAATATAAAAAAGGAATAAAGTTACCTTTGTCGTTCAGATTATAGCCATGTTTGAAACCACTTCTGTAATCTTTCTCTTTCCTTAATGAAATAGTTTTGAGACGAAGAGGGAAGCATTTTTACTAAGTAGAGGTCCTTTATAATATTCAAGGAGCCAGTTAAGATGAACTTCAGGAAAAAAAGTCTGAATTCCTTTCCCATCTTTCTGTAGTGTCACCCATTTTAGATGAGATGATCTTATTATACTCACCTGGCTCTTGCTATGCACCCCTCAGCTATTAATGTTTCTCTTTAATAGAATTTACTAACCTCTGATAAGAAATTTTTTATTCATTTTCATAGTATATTGCTGAAAACTTTGATGATTTCTTTGCTTAATTCTGAAACCAAATCCCCAAACATGAGAGCATCATTAATGGGTTGGAATTGTTGGTTCCTTCAGATAATTCTTTTTTTTTTTTTTATTAAATCATAGCTGTGTACATTATGCAATCATGGGGTACAATGTGCTAGTTTTACACACAATCTGAAATGTTTTCATCAAACTGGTCAGCATAGCCTTCATGGCATTTTCATAGTTATTGTGTTAAGACATTTATATTGTTTCTACACCTAGTAAATTTCACATGTGCCCTTGTAAGATGCACTGTAGGTGTGGTTCCACCAACTACTCACCCTCCACCCATCCCCTCCTCTCCTCCCCTCCCTCTCTCCTTTCCCCTTCTTGGACTATAATTGGGTTATAGCTTCCATAAGAAAGCTATAAATTGGTTTCATATTAAGATTGAATACACTGGATACTTTTTCTTCCATTCTTAAGATACTTTGCTAAGAACAATATATTCAACTGTATTCATGTAAACATGTAAGAGGTAAAGTCTCCATCCTTCTTTAAGTCTGCATAATATTCCATGGTATACATATACGACAATTTATTGATCCATTCTCTACTAGGTATATATCCAGAAGACCTTCAGAGAATTCTTAAGAATTCCCATTTGTTATATGGTTCATGTTTTAGTGCAATCTAGTGTATTTTTTTTTTTTTTTGGTGTTTTGTTCTTTTTATGGAGACAGAGAGGTAGTTTAAGAAGAGCAAATGTGCACCACTTGCTGTTGACATTTCCTACAACACTTTTGCTTCATGCATTTGCTGGGGCAGCCACCTGAAATGTATTATATTTTTAAAGGAATTTTATTTTATTTTATTTTGAGGCAAAGTCTCAAGTTGTTGCCCTGGGTAGAGTGCAGTGGCATCACAGCTCACAGCAACCTCTAACTCTTGGGCTTAAGCAATGTCTTCCACATAGCTGGGACTACAGGCATGCACCACAATGCTGGCCTATTTTTTAGTTGCAGTTGTCATTGTTGCTTAACAGGCCCAGGCTAGGTTTGAACCTACCACCGTAGGTGTATGTGGCCAGAACCCTACCCACTGAACTATGGGCATTGCCTAAAGAATTTTTAAATAGCGTACTTAGGAAAAGAATTAATCAACATCTTAAGGTCTCATTAACTGGACAAAAAGCACTATTCGAATGGAAGGTTTCATTTAAGAAGCAGCATTTTGGTTAATCTCAAAGAACAAATGGAGATAAATTTTGGGAAGAGAGACATATAAATCAAACTTTTTAATACTGTATGTTGGGCAACACTTTTTAATTTTCAGAAAGTGGTTAGGTATTAAATCAGTAGGCATTATTAATTTAGTATACTCTGCAGAATACAAAGGAAGCTTTTATAAGTTTGTGTGTGTGTATTTATGAAAGTATATGTAAACAATATATGTATTTTATGTACATATGTACATATATACATACATATTTAAAATGTAAGCCTTAATTTTGGGGCCAAAATTGAATTTATAGTATATAATTCTTCAGCTTACTTTTAAATGATGAACTCATATAGTGACCATAGGTAATTCATACCTCACGGTATTCTGAAATATGGATAACATGACCATTACTACCCTAATTATGGACATTTAGTTTACCTCTAGTTCTTTACTGTTACAAAGAGATCTGTGGTAATTATCTTTGTATGCTTGCTTTTGCAAATTAAAGTATTGTAATAACTAAGGATCTCTGAAGTATAATAGCTGGCTCAAACAATTTGCATATTTAGGTTCTACTCTTCTGTTGGGTGGGGACTCAGAAGGAGCTCATCTTGTGGGTTGGAGAAAGATTTCTCACACCAGGAGTAAAATAGTTTTGGAAAGAAACTATTTAATTTTCCTGAGAAATAAAGCAAAGAAAGAATAGAGAGAGGGAGGGAGGAAGATCTGGAAGAAGGGAGAAAGGAAGGGAGGGAGGGAGGAGGGGAGAAAATGAGGGAGGAGGAGGGAAGGAAGGAAGGAAGAAGAGGAGGGAGGGAGGGATACAAAGAGATAGACAAAAGGGAGGCATGAAGGAGTGCCGCCTCTGAGGAAAAGCTGCTGGATGTTTGTAAAGGGTAAAAATGGCTCTTTCTTTTTTTTTTCTTTACTTTAACAGACTGATAACAGAAATGGTGTAGCTGTTGCAGGTGCTTTTCATTATTTTTTTCTTGGTGTGGACAGCCTATCTGAATGCTTGAAACAGATATATTTCTGAGGTAGAGAGCTCTAGTGGGGAGCTCCCACCCCTACTATCAGCTTAGGGCTCTTCAAGGCTAAGAAATGGAAACTCTTAAGAGATAAGGTCTTTGACACTGGTGTTTAATTAAAACAAAGTAGTTGTTCTGAGGGTTTATTTCTCTTACTTTCAGTTAGTTTATTTTTCCTCTATTAGCTAGATTATTAGTAAAGCCACCTTTCATCTACCAAATCCAGGATGAATCAACTTAGGCTTTCTAGACATTTTTGATAGTGAATGCTTTTTTATATGACATTTTTAAATTCAGAAAATGAATTATGTAATGGTATTATTACATGATCATGAAGAGTGAACGAGGGCCAGGGTGAGTGGCTCACACCTATAATCTTAGCACTTTGGGAGACCAAGGTAGGTGGATAGCCTGAACTAGAGCAAGACCCCATCTCTATAAAATAGTGGGGAGTTGTGGCAGGCGCCTATAGTCCCAGCTACTTGGGAGGCTGAGGCAAGAGGATTGCTTGAGCCCAAGAGTTTGAGGTTACTGTGAGCTATGTGAGACAAAGTGAGACTCTATCTGACAAAAAAAAAAAAAAAAAAAGGAAAGAAAGAAAAGGAAAAAGGTGAAAGAGCTGTTGAAGTCTCCCTTCACCATTATTTTAGAAATGAAGAAGCTTTGACCCTAAAATATAATGATTTAACAAAAGCTTCTTACTGAAGGTTCATTGTGTTTAATAGCAGGGCATTTTCAGCTGGTTTCAAATTAAAAAATGGCAATTTTATTTTATTATATCCCTCTTTGGGAGAAGAGTGTGCAGTGAGGTGTTGCCAAAAACTCTTAAGTTCTCTGTGTGTGTCGCTGTAGAATGTTAACTATAATTTACTAAAACCATCAATAACTATTTTTTAAAACTTAAAGATATATTCCAAATATTACTATGCAAACCATTTAGTATATTATAATGTCAGAAATTTATTATAGCTAACCCAATTTAGTTTCCTATTATTTGGTATAAAACATGTATATCATATTTTAAGCTATTGAGTTCATATATTATGCAAAGGAAGAAAGAAAGATTGAACTTTATG